TCTTCCAATGTGTCATTTGTAGTGAGAGGTAATGTCGCATTAAGTCATCAAATGTGTCATTGACAGTGAGGGGTAAGGTCGCATTACGTCATCAAATGTGTCATTGGTAGTGAGAGGTGAGGTCGCATTACGTCATCCAATGTCTCATTGGTTGTGAGAGGTAAGGTCGCATTAAGTCATCAAATGTGTCATTGGTAGTCATATGCAAGGTCGCATTAAGTCATCAAATGTGTCATTGGTAGTCATATGCAAGGTCGCATTAAGTCATCAAATGTGTAATTGGTAGTAAGAGGTGAGGTCGCATTACGTCATCCAATGTCTCATTGGTTGTGAGAGGTGAGGTCGCATTACGTCATCCAATGTCTCATTGGTTGTGAGAGGTGAGGTCGCATTACGTCATCCAATGTCTCATTGGTTGTGAGAGGTGAGGTCGCATTACGTCATCCAATGTCTCATTGGTTGTGAGAGGTAAGGTCACCGACACACTAGTTCTTTTAGAGATTAATTGATATCGTTTGTATAGTTTCTTTTTTTCTTTAAAAACACTTCTCAGCACTATAAAAAATTCCATCTTGGTATGTTTGTGCGTCTTGTCTAATCAACTATTATATGCACAACGTGCTGTGTCACGCATGGAAAGAACTATAACACAAACTTTTTACAATAATACAGACTCTCGCCAATTGTAATGTATTCCTATATTGTTTTACAGCCCCCACAGCGCCCCAAGAACCCAAGTGTTCAGTGAGTAGAATCAACAATAACCAAACATTGCAACTGAAATGTGAATCGAGCGGTGGTGATCCACCAGCCATCCTATACTGGTCAGGGGCAGATAATATTGTACATGGCGTACATAATCAATCGTCATCTGTCAATGTTATGATGGCAGAGATTGTAATAACACATAGCCTAGAGGGCGCTGTATTAACGTGTATGTCTAATCACGTGACATTCACTGAATCGAAAACATGCAGCGTTGGACCAATACAAACAGGACGTAAGTATCTAATACATTATTACCCTGGGTATAGTGTATTATGTATGTTCAAATTACGCACTCGAGACGTTTTACGTTCTTGTACAATGACCTCAGTATCGCTAAGCGCCAGAGTTACCAATCAATCAATGTACACACATCGGACGAATCCAAAAACACCACATGCTGCAACTAACAAAATAATTACAGATGAATTACACCAATATACAAGGCAATACTTGTGTTTATTTACGGTGTGTTTAATTCATTGTTTGTAGTGAGTTTACCGCCCAGCATGCCGCTATGCTCAATTTCCAATGACAACCTTATATTGAGTGACACAGCTTTATTGAGCTGTGAATCAATGGGCGGTAACCCCCCTGCTACCTTGACATGGAGTAAAGATAACGTTGTATATAATGGAGAATGGCTCAGCACTGAAACCGAAGTCCGAATTGGTCTAGAAATCAACCTAACCAGAGATATGGATGGAGCAATCTTTACTTGTGCAGCTGATCATAGTGCTTTCAACGAAACGAAGACGTGTACAGTGGGACCTCTAAACATAGTGGGTAGGTGAACATTCTGAACACATTCATACGAACTGAATTCAAATAATCAAAGAAATAACCAGTTACCTGATGTTTTTATTTCATAATTATTCAGTCGCCTGCTGCTGTGCCAGGTAATGTTGTCACCCCTGTCGTGTCGTGTTCCTACACAAAAGAACCCATGGATTATTTTTTTTTCATTTCATAGAAATTCCATGGTGGTTATCTGTATGGTTCTGGCTTTTACTGGCTCTATTATTACTAGCTTTAATTATAATACTTATACTGTGTTGCTGTTGTTGCTGTCGTGGAATGTGTGAGTATATCAAAACATACTATGACAGAGAGATTTAATTCTATCAAATATACTGAAACACACGTATCATTTAGTAATAGCCATTTGTTGACACTCAGATTCATATTAGATTAAGTTTAGCTTATGTTGAATTCTATTGCAGTACCCTGTGGATTCTGTAATTATTCCGATAGATGTTTAGCATGTTGTCCATGTTTACGATACTGCGTGGCACCAATGAAGAAGAGTGAGAAAAGTGAAGCTTCGACAATGATAGAAGCAGACGATGCTGTGTTGATTGGATTCTCGCGAGGTAAGCAGACCTCTGACCTGTCAACTCAAACACCTGGGTACTTAGCAGAAGATGGCAGATACATCAAGCAAGTGTCACAGCTGGAGCAGTTTTTAAAGGTTACCCAGGAGAAGGAAACTACCAACAATAGCACTCACAGAGATTATAAGAAAACCAAGAAAACTACCAGTAAAAAAGACGAATCTTCTTTAAGTAGTTCAGACAGCGATGTCAAAGAAAAGAAAAAAAAATCAGGAAAACATGTGATGAGGGGAAAGGGTAAAACAAAAGGAACACGAAAAACTACTGTAAAAGTTATACAAACCCAAACTACTGACATTGTTGATGGAGACATACAGACAAAAGGTAAAGTACCGATCTGTGTAGTCGTGTGTTGTTCATTGGTGACCCATAACTATATTACGTCACGACGTTACACTAAAACAAACAAATTGTAGGCCATGTTACAACAATAACAACAACAACAGGATAATGTTAATGTAAGATAATTTTACAATAGTGTAATTTCGAGAGCGACAAATTCTTCTGTTGTCTTACTATATGCAGTGCTAACAGTGACTTCACGAATGTCTTACAATTCTGAAATCCCAAAAATGTCTCGTACTGCAAATTAAAAGGTTTACAGTATTTATAACATGATACCTCAAATCATTTGCATATTGTTCTGTATTACAATACTGTCATGCATTTAAATATTATCCTATATTTCAAATATTGCCTGTACCCGGTATTTCAATATGCCTTCAGGCTGTATTTCAATACTGTTCCGTATTTCAGTATTTTCCCATATTTCCATGCATTTCAATATTGCCCTGTATTTTCAATTTTGCCCTGTATTTTAATAATGTCCCGTATTTCAATATTTCCCTGCATTTCAATATTGTCCCGTTTTTCAATATTTCCCTGCATTTCAATATTGTCTCGTTTTTCAAAATTCAGATGATATCAAAATAGACGACACTCACGATGAAAGAAGACACTCCGTCACAATTATCAACAGCGACCAGAACACCCGCACACAACTTGTTCCAGGAGAAATGGGCGAACAACACGATTATTGCACTTCTTGTTCACCATCGGAATCTGATGATGGTATTTTGGGTACTCAGTACATGCCCAGGCCAAGCAGCTACAAAAAGCATATCATAACTAGCAATGTAGTCCGGACATCTACAGAGAAATCTGAAGGAACTGATCAGATAGGTATCCGTTTGATTATATATTCTATTATATGTGAATACAAAAAAAAACGTATTGTGTGATGTGTTTGGTGTTATATGACTGTTGTTGTAGTAAACTGAACGGCAACATACTTCAAAGATCTCATTTATTTGTTTGCTTGTTGATTAATTTGATATTGTATGTTGAGAATTGGATTATTATTTGTCATGAACTAAATAAATAATTGTCTTGGTATACCTTACGTAGATCAAACAACTAATACACATGTGCAGTGATTGTTATTGTATACTATTCATAGATCAAACAACTAATACACATGTGTAGTGATTGTTATTGTATACTATTCGTAGATCAAACAAATAATACACATGTGTAGTGATTGTTATTGTATACTATTCATAGATCAAACAACTAATACACATGTGTAGTGATTGTTATTGTATACTACTC